GGGACCTTGCTTAGGCGATAAATTACTAAATGCTCCTTAGGGGGTCTCAGTGGCACGATGTTTGTTCCGGGGATTGAGGAGGGGAGGAGGGGGCCTTAGCGACCTACCGCCACATGCCACAAGCCGTAGTCAGTATGTATGCATGGGGAATATCCATACTGCCTACTCACTAACTAACCAACTAGGTACTAGATAGATGACCAGGATGAGGGGACAAGGCAAAAGAAAAAAAGAAAAGACAATAAAAAAAGGCGATCAGATCACGGACCGGTGCAGTCAGTCAATCTGTGCCTGATGACAAGCATCACCGCCAATTGGCTCGGATGGACCAGTTACGAGGGGAATGGCCCAATGACTGACATTCCTTCAACACCGATATTTTGCATCTTTAGTTTAGTTCAGATAGTTACTTTGGTATCTACCCGATGAGGTGCCCCTCGTTTAGCTTTCTGGGGAAGACGCAAGTGGGATCCGATAGGCAGAGTCTTCGAGAATGGTCGACGGGGTCCACTATGTTAATTTCTTTTGTTCACTGCAGTTGAGGACCGAACTGGAGATGATACCGCAGATTGATATACTACTAGTAGTTACTAGTCACTTACTTGGTAGTGGTGAGTAGTCAACCAGGGCTCTTTTGTTCCTTTGGATGCCCAGCCTACCGCTGATTGGCGGAAAGCCGTAGATCAGGCCGGGAAACGTGACTTGGGGCGGTGTTGCTGCTGGAAGTTGCTTGTTCTGTCCCTAAGTAGGAACTGACTGACTACAACTCTGGTGCCTAGCAATGAACTATTCCAGTTCTCAAGAGTAGATGCTATTCTTACTATCCTATCCTATCTCAATTCACAACTGCAAGTCATTTAGCTCCCAGAATTACCTCATTTCATCGCTCTCTACTTCCTGCTTCGTAATGCAAACTACTAAATTTATACGATCAGCAGCCTCGTTGGGCAACAATGGTATCATGCAACCGAGTCCGAGAAAGCCAATCTTCGAGAACGAGACTGACCGGCCCACTGACCCGGGAGCTTCCTTAATTCTTTCAATTCGAGTATGACAATGCTCTCACAATTTATGCATCCTCTCTGAATAAGCCTATCGTCGTCGATCGTCCGTAAGCCATTGGCTTTTGAGCAGTGTGGTTATGATTGTGGTCGAGCCACCATCACGTCCAATCCGATCCCTTGTAAGAGCCAAAAGAATCACCTCAACCCATTGCTGACGGCCAATTCCCTAGATAGCAGCCCGCATGCGCTGATTCTTCAAGAGGCGAAGTCTTAATTTCCGTTCAATTAGCACCACTCCACCGGTCGCTTCTCTCGCCTCTTTCAATTGGACCCGGGGCTGGTGTACACCGCCAGAATGGCCACTCGGCATCGTCATCGCAAGACGAGCGATTACCCGGAATGGGGACAGGTCGCCAGTCACGGCAGGCCCGAGATGCTCCTTCTCCTTGTCCTGATGGCAAATTTCGAAATGAGAAATCAGATTTAGACTTGTCGACTGCATTCACGTGTCTGTCTGCCGCTGACCACCCACCCCCTTTCCCCCGGCCTGATCCTATCCAGGACCCCGGGTTGAATAACGGTCAGGTTCCATACCCACATCCAACTCTTCCCTTCCCACCCACTCCTGCACACCGTACATGTTCGCCTCCTTTGCTGCAATTCCAAATCACCATAAGGATTCGCCTTAGCCCAATGAGAAATAAAGAGAAAAAGACACCAAGAAAGAATACTACTTCTAGGGTATTGTTTCAAGTTGTCTTTTTGGCTCGTATCCGATTGGGTTTGCTTCCCTTGTCTTTGTTGTTCACTGCTGATTTGCTTCTTGACTCGATATCGGATGCAATCTGTTCCTTCGTTCCCCCCTTCACTTGGTGCATGAGATGATCTGAACACCGGCAAAGTTCATGCATTGCATCAGCAGTAGCAGTAGCAGCAGCAGGCATATGTAGGGCAAGTTAATTGCTTTTTTCTTTTCTGTGTCTTCTTTTGCATTTCACGTTCCACGCGATTGTCGCGAATAGCGGGCACCGCTGCTTTGCACCGGCCCTGGAAATGACATGCTTACGGACTGACTCTTTGCTTTTGGGATTTCCATGCGTACCCGATACCAATGCACATCGGTAGTAGTCGCTGTGTAGATGAGATGATTCTCTTTCTTCTGTCCTTGATAATACGTACCACAAGGGTAAATTGCCTATCTACCTGTGAAACGTGGCATCCAATCTTACTCCATACAAGATAGCTTCGTTCTTCTCTACACAGTATACCAATAACATAAACACAGACAGTAAGGCTAAGGCTACAGAGTAAGCAACAGAATCAACCCATGACATCAACACACATACAAACCCCAACAACAGCAACCTGAAACACCAACTCATCAAGGGGAATGATGGATGGAGAAAGCACCCGCACAAAGCACGGATTCCATTCCATCCCAATCAGGAAATCATCTAGACCGGTAAAGCTTCGAGAAAACAAACCGGAGGAGGGGGTTTCCCGTAGACAGTGTGACTCATACCTCTCTTCTAACTACTTTCTGTTGCACTGCTACTACTACGCAGCGCACATACCAACAAACCTCCGAGTAGATACACACATAGTAGTCTAAGTGGTCGGTGACGACGTCCAAGCTTGCTTGCTTGCCGACTAACTACTATTCTAGTAAGTAAGTAGTATAGTGCAGTCAAGTGGGTCTTGGATTTCTTCTGGTCTGTTTCATCTTATCGATAGTAGATAGTTGGCGGTAAGTAAGTGGACTTTCTGATTGCTACTTCGGTCCTTGTGCATACTGTAGGATTTCGGGGACTGACTAGACTAACTATGTTACTATGTTATGTTATGTTATGTTGTCGCTTTGGGGCGGTGGATGTGGATCGGCGCAGGCATTATCGTCTGTCTTTTCGGCTTCGATGCTGTGTAACTATGTACTCATGCTTAGCTGCTTGAGATTTGATTACATATTAAGGATTTTCGGGGTATTGATGCTTCGAATCATGGGGACTAGGACACGTTGGTTTAAGGGAGAAGGAGGGGAAGTGATATCATGCTATCGGCCGAATTGGAGGGGGAACGTTCTCGGGCGTCATTCAGTTCTTCGATTAGTAGTTGTATGAGAGTAGTGAGCTTACTGTGGTAGGTAAGTAGTTATGATGCTATAGTGTCTGAAGATATGTATTGTAGCATCACTGCGTTAAGCCAATCATGAAGGATGGGAAAGCAATGCTTGCTACATACTACTACTCACTCACTCACTACTAGTAGGTCTATCCAGTGACCTAGTACCTACCTACATATTTTGAAACACCGAAAGCCATATGGCAATACCCAGGCAAGCCGGCAAACCAAGGCAACGCACATGTCTAGTTAAGGCACATACCACATCTACCTCACTCCTTATCTGCAGAAAATCACAATACTACAACCAACTACAGCCTCACATCACATCACCTCCAAGCTCGAAACTCTAGCTCGAGCTCGAGCTCCGGCTCCAGCTCTAGCTTCTACACCTGCTTCTGCTTCCTGCCAAGCCAAGCAAAGATAGGCGCAAACCGTTTCTTGCCTTGGCCATGGCCATGGGCTATGACCATACTATGCTTCAACCCAAACTCGCCCTGTCTCTGCATGAGAACCCAGATCGTGCGGTGCGCACGGCCAAGGATCCGAGCGAGATGCGATGACATCGATTGGTTTGGTTTCCCCGCAGGAAAGTCAAGAAAGGGGAAGAAGCAGTGATGCCTTACCTGGGGTTAATTACTGGCAATTATCTTTTTCATTTCTCTGAATTATTCCAGTGTAGGTATTTAGTTAGTTGGATAATAGGAAAGTAAAATGAGGTAAAGTACGGAGTAAGTACTTACTAGTAGATAGATGACGAATTCTGTTACTGGTGATGGTCACAGGTGGAGGGACGGGATGTGGTTGATGATAATTTACTCCGTGTGTCCTTCCTAATTGGGAAATTACCAAACATTAAGTTTTTTTTCCCTTGTGATTCTTTTCGGTCGATAGACTGACTGGATGAATGACTTCCATCCATCTCGTGACTCCGCCGTTGAGGTTACTTAGGTAAGATGGTTACCTAAGGACGAAACAAACAGGGTGAGTGGATTTGGCTAGCCTAACAGTACTTAGTACTAGATACTAGTATCAACCCGCCACACCACACGAAGAAAGAGAAAGAAAATGCAGGTGAACCGTCAAAAGTGGATTAAGCTCCATAAGTTGATGGTGGTGCTTATACCGAAAAAGGTAATTTAACTGACTACTACTTACCTGCCTGACTAGTGAAGCACAGAGCGTAGGTAAGTAAGTCACTGACTTGCTTACTTACAGTAAACTAAACTAACTACTAAGAGCCTGGCATCAACGCCAAAATCGAGAAACAAAAAAGCAAAGAAAAACACCCGCTCGGCAATCATCCCCCAAAAAGAAATAAATAATAATCAATCAAATCGTAAACCTGATTAAGATCTGTATCTGACTGGAGGACATCCAGTCCAGGATGAAATCCGATGAGATGGATGAGAGAGAGTGTGTGTCCGTGCTTTTTTGTTTCTGCATCTGAGTTGCAGCTTCCGTGCGGTATGTGCATTTCAGGTAATCTGTCATGGAATTGGTTCGAAAAGCACGGGCGGGCGCGGTGTGTGTCGCAACAGAACGGGTGTGCATGCGATGTGCGCGCGCGCCGATTGAAGGGGCCGCGCGGGCCGGCAATGACCCAGTCTAACCGAAACTGCAAAAGGGCCCTTTGTTTTGTTTTGGTTTTTTGTTTTGTCGTCCACCCGTGGAATGACTGGCTGGTTTGGTCTTTGTGGTTATTGGTTGTGGATCAACTTCTTTGGATGGGTTGGATGGATCTCCCTTCTACGGGCCGGCCCTAACGGTACCAGAGATGAATTTGTGGTGGTTTCCTAGGTACTCTATCGAGGTGCTATGGATGGGGGCAAAAAGCAAAATAGAAGCATGTGTATAGCATTGTGGTGGTGGGTGATAATGGTAGCAAGTGAAAGCAAACATCTAGGCTTGAGAGAGGCTGCTGTCACGGGCATATCACACCAACAATAAGAATTACGATAAGAACGAGGCTTCAATGAAGGATGCGATACTAGCCCATCGGATCATTCTCTCCTCAAAGCCGGTCTTAGCAGGAAACACTCCGTACTTCTTCATCAGCATCAACAGCCTGATCCAGCCTCAGGAGCCTTTTTGGTTCCCAGCGCTCTGGTGTGCAATGCTGATGATCACAATGGAAATAATTTCCTCTCAGCCCATGAGGGATGTCGCACTGTCGCGCGCGCGAATGATTGGTCATGCCCGCAACTGAGGGCTGGAGGGCGATACGCTTCATGCCCGGGGGTGTGGGATGGGTGGTGGTGTTCCGTATGTATTGTATGACATTGAGTCCGTCCATCTGATCCCAAGCCCGCCTGCCCTCTCTTCCTCCCACCGGAAGTCAAAAAGTATGAGGGGGAGGGAGGGGGGTATGGCCTCATCGTCTGGTATTCTTGGTATTGTCCTGTAACTCACGACTCGCCCTATCCCAGGGGTCGATCATGGGATGGATGCACACTGACTGAGCGCACAGACGATCTCCTCTTTTGGGCATCATCTTTCCCAAATCCAAAACACCGAGGAGCCAAGAGAGGCCCCCTCCTCCTCAGGTCCTGGTAGGATGAACGGGCCTGTTGTTCAGGTACCTACCCACCTACATATGTACGTATATTGTGGGATCATCATCGAACCTGAGGATGAATAGGAAGGGAGGGGTTGTGTTGTGGTGTGGTGTGTGCTTGAAACCATGAACCCAGTGTGCTGGACCCCAGGTACCAATCAATCGTTCTGCGTTCCCGGATGTGATTGATTACTGTCGGGAGGGATAGAGAAGGGAAACGCATGCCTGAGTTCGGGCTGCTACGGGATAAGCGACTGGCAGAGAGAGACAGACAGACACACAGAGAGAGAAGGACAGGCACATGGATTGACGGAAGTTTCGACTGTATCGGATAGAGGGGTCGTACTGTCAGGAATGATCGAATCGATAGGCTATCGATATCCGATTTGTGGCCCCACCCGTAATACTAACCATGGTTCTGATACCGACCACTCTCTGCACCCACTACACTACTTACAGACATCTAACTAACTATACTAGCATGGAAACTTATGGTCCCTACTCCTCCTCCTACGGACTTACTTAGTACGACTCCGGGTTCTAACCCACTCTCTACCCGGAGACCGGCACTCACTGGGAAGGGTAGTATCTACGAAAAAGTAAGAGTCCCAGTTGAGAACTCATCCCGAGCGGCTATCCATCGGTCCGGATGATTGACTGATGTTGGTATTCCAAAAGTCAAAAGTTAAGGTTAGTTGAGACAGGCAACGGCATATAGCCGCCGTTATTGACGGGCGAGGGCTCTTTGTCGATATTGTTGGTTAGGTTTGGCGGTTAGGGTTGATTATTATGCTATTCTACTTATGCGACAGTTGGGGGGAAGATCCCACCGAATTCCTTCGGCCTATCATCTATCACATTCTGCACTATGTATGAGTCGCATCTGGTGAAAGCATACTCACTTACTAAGGTCGGTAAGCATCTCCTACTTTCTAGTCTCTACTAAGATTGCTAGGTGGTTTAGGTAGTAAATAGTAAGTATATTCTCATGGATAATGGTGATGCTTCCTTTGATGTAATGTAATTGGGAAATAATTGAAGAAAGTTAGGCCTACAATAAAGTACTACAGTAGATAGTAGACTACCGGCAAGGCGATCATCGGGATTCTTCCAGGGCAGCAATATTCTCGCTAGTTAGCCTCCTTAGTCCGCTAGTTAGTACCTACATTTGACGATGTGAATAACCTCAACCTTTACCAACCCAGGGGATAAGATCAATCATCATGGGTACTACATGAGAAGCATCACGATCATGATTCGTCTCTAGTCAAAAGCACTGGGCGAGTAACCAGCCAGGAACGATGATTATTCATCCACCCTTCTCGTCCCAAAGGTTCCCCTGCCAGCTGCACGTCTGCCCAACGAAGCATCCAATGATCGCTCCTCGTTAATCTCGGGAGCAGTCAGAAATGTCGCCTCGTCTTTTGACTTTTCCGCTGACCGCCGGATGCTCGTTGGGTGGTTTTGGGGGCGCGGCCGATTAGTGAGCGAGGAAGTGCGAGCGATGGGTCTGTGGTCTGTGGTTTCTACCTACTACTTTGTTTAGGGCCGATGGAGAAGGGAAGAAAGAAGGCCGTGGGAAAATCATGAGCACGGGATTTAGGTGGGATTTTTGGTTTTGGTTTTTTTTGGGGTGTTTTTCCTTGGGCTCACTCACTCTGCTTCTCTTCCTAATTTTTATTCCTTATTTTATTTTTTATTTTTATTTCTGTTATTTTTTCTTTCTCCCTTATTTTTTTCTAGTGCCTATTTTTCTGGTTCCCCCCATGATTGCCGCTGTTGGTCCGTCTGTAGGTTATGGGTCAGGTCCCAGAGAGAAAGTATGGTTATGATTATAGTTAGTGTTTTTATTTTTATTCGCATTTTTTTTATTTCTTGGGATTTTAATCTGAATATTATTTTTCTTTATTTATAATTTTAATTTCTGGGAAAGAAAAAAAAATATTCACTCATCCTGAGATTTTCGTGCTGGGTCGAAAAGCAGTCTTACTATTCTGAACTTGGTCAGGGACTCCCTCAATCGCATGTTTCCTGATTCAGCCCCGAAGGATATATGGACTCCCCCTCCCGCTTGTCACTTGCTCTTGTCCTCCATCACAATCAATCAATATACTGAACTTCAAACTCTCTTCGCGAGAGGTTTCTGTCTGATCACAAGAGACCTCGATTTTACCTTTCCTCCCCTCCTCCTTCATATTATACTTATTCCGCTTCTTTCCTCCCCTGCTCCTCTTCTGCCTCCACTTCGCTAGTTCTCTACTACTCTACACCTTGACCACCACCCGATCGATCTACTTCTCTTCCCACCTTATCCTTTTTTATTTCCCCATTCCTCCTCCTCCCTTGAGACTCTTTCGAGATTATACTCTCTCGTTCTCCTTCTCACGGGTTATATCTTCATTCCTCCCATTTCTCACAAGTTTGAAACTTTCTAAATACTTTCACCAACCACCCTAAAACCCCGCACCTCTTGACCTGTTTTTTTCCCGAACCTTTATTTTACACACCGCCTCTTGACTGCTCTACAAGCAACCACGGGCTTTTTTCCTTGATCAAAGCCACCTTTTTTCATCTTTATCTTCGTCATATACACATTCACAGTTATGGCAAGGTATTCTCAACAATCCTTTGACTTCTACCAACAATCCCCCTCTACATTGGATGCCAAACCGTCATATTCAGAAGAAGACGACATGAGTGTACTTGATGATAAGATCCTCGACTCTACTTCCCCCGAACTTCCTTCCACTGTTGCCGACCACCGGAGAACCTCATATGACCATGCACCCGATGCATTTGCGCATCGAGATTCCGTCTGGTCCGATTTCTCCCAATCCGTCTCTAGCACACAGTCCCGTCACAACTCCCAAGTCGGCCACGCTTTCTTTGAAACCGCCCCCAATCCTTTCATGCGGGTAGACGGCGCTCATCCATCCGCTCCATACGGCCACCAGGCTTCCTGGCAGCTTGCAAAGGAATCGGGCTCCTGCACTCCTACCGCCATGTACGATCACTTTCCCTCCGAGTTGGATCACGCTTCGTCAGCCCCCTTTGCTGGCGGTGCCGTCGGTCCTGTCAGCACCATCAACATCCCCTCTATGTCCTACCGTCCCGGCATGGCCTTCGCCCACCCTGCCACTGTGGCTATGTCGCCGCAGTCCAGTCAGGGCTGGATGCCCGCTGCAACGGATCTGCCTGATGCTATGTCGCGGCCAACCAAGAGCCCGACCTACCGCAACAGTTCCCCCTTGAGTGTGCGCCGGGATGGGATCCGGAAGAAGAACGCTCGCTTTGAGATTCCTGCAGAACGGACGTTGAGCAACATCGACCAGCTGATCAGCCAGTCGACCAATGAGGAGGAGATCAAAGAACTCAAACAACAGAAGCGGCTGCTGAGGAACCGTCAAGCTGCGTAAGTACCCACTGCCCCCTCCCCCCTTACATGATGGCATCAGCCCATATCTAATCTTGTCCTCTAGTTTGGATTCCCGTCAGCGCAAGAAGCTCCACACCGAGAAATTGGAAGAGGAGAAGAAGCAGTTTACCCAGGTCATCAGCGACCTCGAGGAGGAACTGCAGAACATGCGCCTACGGGAGGCCGAACTCCTTCGCGAGAAGAGCGAATGGATGGCCGCCCAGCAGGAAATCACCCAGTACATCAACACCATGCACATGGAGAAGGATGAACTGATCCGGGTGCACACCTTGGAGACTGCTGATCTTCGAAAGAAGAACAACATCCTCAAGGAGACCGTGGAGAAGCTCGAGAGACACGCACGAACCGCCGCCCCTGCGATGACCACCGAGTTCTCGGACTTTGAGAACTTGACCATGGACAGCAGTCCTTGGGAAGACTTTACTATGGTGAACAGCCTCTCCCTTGACGCAGAGTCTGTTCCCACCTCGACGGCACACTCTTCCTCGTTGGTGGTCTCCACGAACGATAAGGAAAAGTCTGCGACCAGCGACTACCCCTTCAGCTGGAACGCCTTTTACATGTGCCTTCTCTTCGGAGCATTCATTGCCTCCAACAGCTCTACGCTGTCGGCTCGCTCCATGCCTCAGCTCTCGGAGGAGTATCGCGCCGAGTCCGCGAATGTTCTCCGGGCTGTTCTGTCTTCCTCTCCACCCGAGCTTGCTCAGGGCCAAGGCGCTGTGGCTTCCTCGTCGGCCATGCCCATGCCTACCACCATCACTGGAGCCGAGATGGCTCAGATGACCGGCACAGCGGCACCGTCGAACTTGGATGAACTCCACAACACCCTGGCCATGCCCTCCAAGCAGCAGGAACAGGAGCAGGTTTTCGCTCTCAACGCGGACCAGTACAACTCCTTGACGACTTTTGATGATGCGGGTGTCGACTACAAGCAGCAGCAGCAGCCTTCTAATCTGCAGCAGGCGCTCGCTGCGATGCGTGGTAACGTTGCCCACAAGCTCCCGAACAAGGCTACCTCTGAAGTCTACTCTCGTTCCCTCATGTGGGACCGGGTTCCTGAAAAGGTTATCCGAGACTTCAGACGCATGGTTCAGGAATATGGTGTCGCCCCCGTAAAGGAGGAAGACTCCGGCTTCAGCCAGTAGTTTAGCCCCGCGAAGGTTGGGTCACGCCGACCGTACATCGCCCATCTCAGCTCTCTCCTCTCTCTCCCTCTCTCTCCACCGTGCCCAGACAAAGTTACATTGCCTGCGTT